TGGGTGTGTGTGTGTGTGTGTGTGTGTGTGTGTGTGTGTGTGTGTGTGTGTGTGTGTGTGTGTGTGTGTGTGTGTGTGTGTGTGTGTGTGTTTTGGGCTGGGGTTTAGTCTGCTACATCTTACATGGTGTGGGTACTGGATACCCCCCATAGGGAATGCAGTCAGTAAAGAAGTCTGTTCTGAGCTTGTAAAACTTAAAGGTTACTGCTCCCTGAAAGAGACAGTGCGTTCTGATATGTCATGGTGTTCGAGAACACAACAGACGAAATAGCGACGTGCAATCTTTATACATATTAGAAGAAAATAACAACTATCTAAGGCCGTCAATGATAGCTGTAAAAGCAGTAGAGGCAATCATATTTCGGTTCGAACTTTTATAAGAAAATAGCTGTTATTAAAACCCTGACATCTCTCCTTTAAAAGTAACTTCTCATTTTTATTCCTTAGATTGTTGGAGCCATCTGACATTTCCATTTCAAGTAACTTCATCACGCAAGGGGAACGTTTGGGGTTTGTCGGCTAGGCGGTGAACCTGAATGAAATATTCCTTTGATAAAATGACAGCCACGTCATATTGTTCTATATTATTATCATTCCCAAGTAAGTCAACAAGTGCAACTGGGATACTTATGAGTACTCTCTTGAAATTATACAAATGAAGCAGTCTGATAGACTTACTTTGACACCTCTCGTACACCTCAGCATCCCGCCCTTCCTCAAGTTTTCAATTCTCCCTTCAAAGCACTACTTAGTTTCACCTAATCATAATCTGACAACCCTTTCACCCATTCACAACTTCAATATTTCTTTCCAGTTTACCATCACCATACCTTTTGTTCACTTGCATCTGTGAATTAGTTACAGACTTCTTTATAACCGCCTACCAAACCACCATCTCACTGTGCCCATACCATTCTCATCTCAAAACATTTCTTTATACCGAATCCCTAACCATCTCGTTATCTTGCCATTCACTAACACACTATTTCTTTCCTACCCATCTTCACCTAATCTTCTAACCTACGCATGCTCTCCCAGTCCTCTCACTTCACTATCTCACTTTTTTACCCTTCCACCATTCCTCTGCTCACTTTTCACACCCACCCTGTGTCTCCACCCCTCCCCCT